CGCCAGGACGTCCTGGGCAGGGAGACGAGCCTGGGAGGGGGCGAGGGGAGCCTGGAGCTCCGGGATCAGCCAAGAAGTGGGGGCAGGAAGGCCCCCCTGGCAGAAGGGGGCTCAGGGAGGCTGGTCTAGGCTTGGGGGCTAGCTTTGCGGCTCTAATCTCTTCGAGGAAACCGTCAAACCCACCCCCAATCATTTGAGGGGTGGGTTTTATGGCTTAGAGCAGTGTTTCTCAAACTTGGCGACTTTGAGATGGGTGGACTTCGATTCCCAGAATTCCCCGGCCAGCGTGCTCTCTTGCCTTGCATTTCTCAGTGGATTCAGCCCTCGGTCCTTTTACGAAATATCCCTGGCTTCACCCAAATTTTTAAGGAAGGAGGGGATAGGTTTTGCAACCAGATTCAACCAAGCAGTCAGTATCTCTTCTCCAAATTGACCAAAGGGAAACCTCTCCTGGGGCTCACCAAATCCCTCTCTCCCTTCATTTCTCTAAATGTTATTTTTAATCAAGAATAACAGTAAATGGGAAGGCAGCATGTTAGAAAGCAAAGACTCATCCTCTTACTAGAAAACCAAAGTAGTGGGTGGGTAACAATCTAGAGCAGTCTTTTTCAACCTTGGCAACTTTAAGATGGATGGACTTCAACTCCCAGAATTCCATGCTGGCTGGGGGATTCTGGGAATTGAAGTCCACCCATCTTAGAGTCGCCAAGGTTGAAAAAGACTGCTTTAAAGCAACGCTTCTCAACCTTTTTTTGCCCATAGCCTCTTTTCGCCCTTGTTTTTCTCCTGTGGCCCCTCCATCCAGGTCTCATTACTGGATACAGACATGGGGCATTTTGTGGGTTAGGGTACAATGTAGTGTTTGGAGTATAATACACTTTGCTTTTTTGTGGGCCCCCCGTTACATGTTTTTTTACCTGTGGCCTCCTTGAAATATCCTAGGGCCCCTAGTTGAGAACCGCTGGTTGAAAGCACAAAATATGAAATTGCGAGACAGCGGCCCTCTGTTTCACAAAAGTTGTTGATTTCTAAGGCCGTCTCTTCTCATAGCAGGTTGAGTCTTGTCTCCTATTACAGTGGCAGCTGTGTTTTCATAGGCTGTGTGTGTTCTTGTGTATCTTGAATGTGCAGCTGTTCTCTGCCCACCTCTGCATGAAGAGTCTGCATATTTGGGAGAGAGTAACCCTTTGAGATTCTAAAAATGTAGAGAAGTCTATGCATTTGCTCTGATACAAATTAGGCAACGTTTTGTGCTTTCAGCTTCCTTTGATGTTTGCTGAAAAAATGAACCCAAAGGTAGCTGCAGCATTGGAAGAATGTTAGAAATGTCCCCAACCCTTAGGGACTTTTGGCAGGGAGGGCTTCGATTGCTACCATAAAGTTTAGTAATTTGTTGTTTTTTTAATGGGCTATGGTATTATCCCACCTGGCTTCCAAGTAAGTAAAAAAGTAGTTTATACCCTCAGCAATCAAGAAAAGGTTGTGAGTGGAAATAGTTGGAAAGAGAGCAATTCAACCAAATTCAGTGAACTTTGGAATTGACATTCGAGCTTGCCTTCTCCTTCCAAATGCTGGTCACCCACCGGTCGGCTGTTTTTTTTCCGGTTTCTGGTCCTTTGCTTCCTTTCTCTAAGCATACGTTCAGTAAGCAGCTGGAGGGTCTTCCTCCATCTTTTTGCCCAAAATCAATTAATAGTGGCTGTTTTCAACTCCCCCACCACCCTGGGCTAATGGCCTGCCAATTTCCAGTAAAGATTGTGTTAACCAGTTGCGTTGTTATGGTCTTAACTGGGCTCCTGTGTGAGTGTGTGTGCGGGTGCGTGTAGGGGAGGGAAATAAGAGATGCGGAAGCTGTTGAAATACCCATGTGGTACCTTCTCTCGTGTCTGCATGTAAGCATAAATTATGAGGTACATGTGCACACAAAGACAAACACCTACTAGGCAGGTACAGCCGGGTTTCACTGTACTATGTTAACCGACCAGGTTACAACCTGGCAACGTGTGTTCGTTTTGCGT